CCAAGTTCCCCTCCAAGCCATTCACCATGCTGACTTGAAAATATTTCACTGTTCCTTCACTGTCCCTGGGTCAAAATCCTAGAATTCTCTCCCTAATTGCATTGTGGGTCAACCTACAGCTGGTGGACTGCATTGTTTCAAGAAGGAAGCACACCAAGAGGGGAACTAGGGAGGGGCAATAAATGCTGGCCAGCCAGAGACACCCACATCCCATAAATGAACAAAAAAAAACTATATCCTTGGAAAATGTCATGCTCCTGCTTTATTTGGTGGGTCAGGTGCCTTAAAAGGATAGTTACTGGGGGATGAGGGCTACACTCTATGTCCATGTTTGATGACTCTATTATGCAGCCTCCTGATAGAGGCAGATTGTTGACATGATGCTGCCTGTTCTTAAACCAGGACCATTTTGGAGTAAACAATAAACCTCCTGAAGACGAGGTTCTGATGCTAGGATTGGTCTGGGGGGTTACCTTGCAGTGTAGTCCAGACAGAGTGTGTCATATAATCCTTATATGTTGTGCTCTGCTCAAGTGGAGCAGGAAAAGATAGGATGTGATGGATGCTGAAGTGCTTGGAGAGTGACAGCAGCTTTCCAAGGAGAAAAAGAAGGAAATTGAGCAGGACAAACATCACCTTCAGCATGACAGAGTGCAACAGCAGGTGTAACAAACCAGACAGGTATTAATTGACACTCATTTCTAATAGATTTGAAGTGCTCATCCATTGACTATAAATTTGTTGCTGCTCAAAGGGAAAGCAGCCCCTCTCTATTCTCAGAAACAAATACAGTTCTTTGTGTGTTTATTTTTCTTCATTTTTCCTGTGGTTCAGTAAAAATTAGTGCTTTCAACCGTGTGAAAGCATTCCAGCATGTGATGGTCCCACATTGAACAATAACAAGATCTTATGCTATGCCAAGTATTGAGGGAAGAGAAATACTCCTTTAAACACGGTTCTGACATGGTTTGGTATTTAGGACAAGTAGTCCATTTAGCTTCATACCTGCAATTATTCTTACAGTTTATCAGACAGATGATGGTGTAAACATAAAGTTATAAATGTGAGAATTCGAATTGCAATGAAATGTCACCTATATGCCTTCAGAAGCTTTTCTTTTTTGTTTCCCTTTCACTACAGGTACTGTGAAGGGCTTTGTGGTTGGCAGCGATTGACCTCATGCACAGCTGAGCTTTAAATATGGCATCGGTGCCTCAAATCCTGGAGGGTCTTGACAGTGGTGAGTACATCTGCCATTGGTGAGCATACAGTAGGGCACAAGTGGCACAATAGACGCGTGATACATACATTAAGAGGTTAGTAGTTGAAAATTGAAACAAATTGCTAGATCTCACAGAGAGAAAGCCTCCACGAAATACTCCAAAATTGATACTTAGCAATTTTTTTGGTAAGATTCAGTAAAATTAAGTGACTGTTTACTTTGAAAAAATTGAGCTGATCAAAGAGAAACTACATGGGTTTGCAAAATGTAATTCTTAGACTAACTAAAAACTGAACTGAAGTTTTTTTGAGGAAGTCACACAAGTGGTCGAGTGGAGAATGTTTGTGAATACAGTTTCTATGGACTTCCTGAAAGCATTCAATAAGGTTTCACTTAAATTTCTATTAGTTAAAACAAAAGTGAATTGAGGTGAATGCAAATTATTGAGATGGTTAGACAGTTGAGAAGAGTATAAGAAAATAGATTTGCACTCAAATAGGAAGAAGGTGATTAGGAATGTCTCACAAGAATTTGTGCTGTGGGGGCCTCAACTTATTCATTATTATTATTCATGACTTAGTGAACATAATGGAGGGCCTTTTCAGTCATGGCCAAATGGCGGAGCAAACTCGAAGGGCTAAATGGCCTAATTCTGCTCCTATATCTTATGGTCTTCTGTCTAAGTTTGTCAATGGCACAAACTAAGTAGTATAATTAATGGAGGCAGGAGCATCAAATTGCAAAAAGATGACAGATTAGATTAGTAGGCAAAAGAGCGGCAGCTGGATTTCAACACAGATAGGTCAAAGGATCAAAAAAGGATGCATCCGGTTATTTTTTAAATGGCAAAAATTTACGGATAGCGAAGGTTCAAACAGATTTAGGAGTCCATTCACACAGACCACTAAAATGTAAAGGATATAACCATGGCCAAAAAGATAGTATTATAGAGAGTTAAAATATATAAAACTTTGCTACATAAATACAAAACATTGATTAAACAATACTTGGGCACTGCACTTTGGAAGGATATATTGGCTTAGAAATGACTGCAGCACAGGCCAACCAGAACATTACCAGGATTCTGAGGTTCAATTCTAGGAGAAATGGCAGAATCTGTGCATGGTTTTCCTGAAATACAGAGGTTAAAGGAGGATTTGTTTAAGATTTATTTTGAAAGGAATTCAGAGGGTACAGCAAGAGTTTAACACTGCTGGGGGAGTATGGAACAAGGGAACACAACCTAATCTTATGGCCAGGACATTCAGACAGCCAGGCAAGAAATATTTCTTCAGACAAAAGAAGTGTAAAACTCTCCAACTAAAAAAGCATAAGATATAAGCTTGAATTGATAGATTTATGCCTTCTAAAGGTACTGAGGGATTGGAACCAAGACAGGGAGGTGGAATTAGAATTTAGATTAGTCACAATATCATTGTTGAAATTGTTGAGATTGTTGAAACAGAGGTGTAACTACCTTCTCCTGTTAACTTCACTGGTGTTTGTTTTTGCTGGTGATCCCAGATTTGCAACAACACTATACATGTCCTCATCCTTGATGTTATAGAATTTAGTGCTTTTATCCTTGGCAAAATTAAGTAGATAGGGAAATTAAAATTGAGGTTTTCGCTCAGTCATCCTTATGAACTGTGAGAATAGGATGCCTCCTGCTCTTGTAAATTCGGTACGAGTACACCTCAGAGAAGGCAAATAAACATTTTCAGACATTACGTAACAGTCCCTCACAATTATACATGAGTGAAGCACTGTATAGAATTGAAGTTGCTCATAAAACTCTAGCCCTCACGATGGAGAAGCTCTTATCTTTTGTTCCCATGTTGATTCTGCTAAAACTCATCTCACTACCTTACCCTTGTTCTAATTTTGTTAGGAAATATCCACTGTCTTAGTTCTCACTTAATTGTTGGGAACATCTCCCAAATGGAGAAGTATGAGTACTTGACATTGAATTACTAGACTGCAATATATTCAAAGGACTCTCATTAAATGAGAGTGAAATTTCAGTGCATAAAACACCAAGTTAACCATAAAGTTTAATTACAGTACTGAATTCAGTAGTACATCCAATTCCACAAATGTCTGTCTGTGTATGTATTTAACCATCACAACCAAAAGTGCCAATGCAAAGTAGTTTACCAAGAATGTCTGACCTTAATATATTACATTTAATTTCCTCATATGTGTGTGTAATGCACTAACATCAAAATTAAAGCTTTAATTATTTCAGTATAAAATGTTATTGTTACCTATTTTTAGGAGCTTTTTCAGCGTCTCAGTACAGAGCAATATGCTATTGGTTGAAAGCATTAATATTCCTTTATGATATCAATACTGCAGGTCAGCAAGAAATAATTTTCATGTGATTGCTGCAGTGAAATTCTATAGCAAGTAGTCCCTTATAAATTTTGCAATACCATGGTCATGGTAGGATACCCATTGAGGCAAAATCCGCATTAAAGTTTTAGTGTACACCTGTCCTGGGAACAGGGATTATGAAAAATGGATTTGTAGCATTTCAAAGCATATTGGAGGCTTTTCGGGGACATAACATGTGCTACGTCTTTTGTTCTGTTTTACAATGAGTAGCTTAGAGTGAAAGATCTCCATCAGTATGCCAATATGATTTCATAAATTTCAAGAAAGGTTTAGACATAGAGATCGTTATGCACCAGAACAAATTTAACCTTTGTATTCCTTAGATGGTATCGATTGTATGAGTGTAATGTCACAAAAAAATATAAATTATCTTGTGTGAGAAACATCAGTCACAGTATAACTGTTGCATCTTATACATACATTTCATTTTTTTATATCCCATTTCACTATATGTGTCATTCATGGCTTCAAACAATACATAATAATCTTTACATTTCCCCAACAATTCCCCTATAATAGTTCGTCGGCGACGGGGGATATTTTAATATACATTAAAGAGGTCACATGGTGAAACATTGCAGACAAGCTAGTACTGGATCTGGTGAATTATGACTTTTCCTAACTTTGAAATTGGTTTGGCATTTTTAAAGTTTTGAAAATGTATGCCAATTGTTTGGCATGACCTCATCACTTTAATGTCACTTCCCCTTTGCCAAATATCATACATTTTAATCAAGGATGTCTCAATCACTTCCAATCTGAACAGAATTCAAACTTTTGAAAGACTTTTCAATCCAAAATTCACATTTACTCACTTCAATCTGATTTGGTGTGTGGGTCTTTACCCAAAATAGCCTGGAAATAGAAAGTGATTGCTTGAAGTTTTAAGAGGACAGCGTCCTGTAATCCATGCACAGTTTAAATCTTACAATTCAGTTTGCGATTATTTTCTGCCTGGTGTAATAATGCCAGATTTAATCTATTTCCCACACAGAGGAACGTTAGACAAGGAGAAACAGAAGAAACATTGAATGGGTAGCTAAATCAATAAGCCACATTGTATGTTGCTAAGATTTATTTTAGTTATTTTGCAACGAGCGGAGACCTACATTCACAAGAATCCGAACACTTCACCACTTGATGGAGGCTATATTTCACTTCGGGTAGAAATTGGCTGGTCTATAAAAACTAAATTAGGGATGTTTATTGTATCTAGTCGAGAGGAAGAAATTCTAATTACAAGGTTACAGTGTCAAAATAATCCATTTTTATTTATGTTTACAGCCAGTGACGAAAAGTCGTCGCGCCTGGAGGTAAATTAAAACTCGTGGACTTGAATAAATATCCTCCAACGCAATGGATCTCAGAAATTGTTCCTTACCGTCACTTTTGACAATCACTTCTTTCAGACACATGTCTTGCACGTTGACTGTACAGTTTGCTATAAACTCCGGGGACGAACAATCATCATTTAATCGGAATTCTTCACATTGGTAACACTGGATTTGAAAGCCAAGCCCTGAAAAAGTTAACATGGATATGGCGTGGATTGATAGACTGTGCAAGTCGAGATTTCAGCTCTTTATTTGTCTAAAGATTTACCTATTGAGATGACATTGAAGGTGTACAGAGTGAAATGAGTGCAATGAATTGTAAGATTCATCACGGATCCTAATTCCAAGTCTAAGATTGTACACGAGCTTTGATCATTTGTTCCTGATTCACTTATGGTCCTTATTAACTTTTATTGTTATTAATTAACTTCCCAGCGCGGCAACCGATCATACATGTTAATTCATTCTTAATAAACTACAAAAGCCTGAAATGCCTTTTTTGAGGGGAAAAAAAGGCCCTATTAGCAACTGATTAGACTAAACGGGGGAGACTGGGGGAGAGAGAATGCATGTCACTTTTGTTTTGGTTTTGGAAACAATTTCAGATTAAACGACTTCCGATCCTGTGAAATGGAGTTTGCTGTAAAGGGAGGGAATGCCAATCGCCAGCTTACCTGTGGACGCTAAAAATCCGCAGAAAGTTGTGTAAATGAGGAGCTCCATTCTGCCCGCCACTGTACAGAACAATGATGAGATTAGGGAAGAGTGAACGAGCAGTTGCGAGTCTTAAGCGAGCTTCCTAGATCCAGCCATGTCTGCAGAGTGGTCCCCCGGCTGGGAGCCTGAGGAAACTGAGTTTGAGGAGAGACTGGACTGGGAATGGACAGAGGATTCAAATAGTCGCACCACGTGACAGCAGTCATCTCTCACTTGGCATTCGGAGAGATTCATCGTTAACATTTTCACAGTGGGAGGAGGGGCGAAAAGAGAATAACTGACACGTTAAAACTAAGAAATGCAGGCGTGAGAAGCAATCGAGGGACAGGGAAAGGCGAGCAAACGACGTGAAGTACTGATTGGACGAGAATGCAGGCAAATTGTAAGACTTAAGGAAAAGGGGGAGCTGTATAGAGGAGAAGGGGAGGTTCGTGAATAAAAATAAAAGCCGGTGATGGGAAATAGACGAGTGCATTGATGAACGGGTTGGAGAGTACCTGTTTTCTTTCTTCCCAAACAGTTTCCTGTGAGTTTGATAGAATGATTAGTGAATGTTATGGCAGCGTTTCTTTTTCCAGGGGCTTTGAGCCAGTTGTAAATCCAGTTGAAGATTGCAGAATACTGCAATAGCCAGGAACAGATGAGGGAAAAGCGAAAGGTTCTCTCTAAAGCGGCACTCGGCTGACGGAGCTCCAATTACAGTCTTCAAACAATTAATACCATTGAGTCTCACCAAGGCGTTACTGTAATAGTATTAGAGCAGCTTATCCGAAGCGCTGGCTGATTACCTGTACGCTTGAAAGCTTTTGCATTTGTCCTTGTTTATTCATCATTTGCGATCACGGCTCATTGGTCAAATCCCTGCTTTGAATAAAAGTGCATTGACAGTGTTGTCTACAATCGCCGCCAGTGTGTTTTACTGTTAAATAACCGCAGGTAGGCTGCAAGCTCGCAACACAACCGACCTCGAATTGGGGTCTTGCCAGTAGCGCGCAGGCAGAGTGGGAACGGGATCAAGTCATTCGCTCGGCTAACCATCTAAAGCCTCGAGGAACACGGCTCATTTAGCCTTACTTTGCTCTCCTTGGAAGCAACGACCAAATCAAATTGGAAACCGTGATTTCGCTCTCTCCGGCCAGTCTGAACGGATTCCGGCCCCTCCCCACGTTACCTTTGTATTGCTGGAGTAAAGGGGTAAATAATGAACCAAGGTGCACGAATTGTAACAAAATGACAGAAACACTTGTTCAAAGTCTGAAAGCAAAAGCATTTTTTTTTATTTGTTCTGACAATGTCCTTAGATGAAAATCTGACACCAATTTCTAACATAAACATCTAAGATTGCACCGAATACTGAAGTAACACCGTTGGTACCGCCAGATTTCGGATTTTTTTTACACTTGGTACAATTTATCAGCCGTTTCAATCCAAAAAAAAATCTTGTGTACAGTACGCTAGAAAATATCAAATATACTACTTTACAATTCCATGTACAAAAGTAGATATAAATATCTCACAGCGAGGAAAAATACACACCATTTGAAATCTGGCACCTTTGCCACACCTCTGAACATAAGCCTCACAGTAAATAAACAAGGTGGGGTGGGGATGTCTTCAAACGCAGGAAGCTCCAGTCGGAGCAGCGGGACTTTCTTGTGAAGAAGGGAGGGTTTGCCTACTGCAACTGCAGCTGGGATTTAGGACGAAGTTGTTCAAACGATTAAAAAGGGAAAGTTGAAATTGATCAGAGCAGTTCGGCCGGCTCGTTACGGAGACGTGCTCTTAATGGAGTTCAACATTTAAAATGTACACACTAGAATTAGGTTACAAATATCCCTGACATGGCTTCGAAAACTAAAGCAGGAAAATGGACAAAATCCCGTAGGAGGTGGGAAATATAGTTAATCTTTTTTTTTCAAAAATGTGTCAAGTCACCTGAGAGTTAACAAATGCATCTTCCAGACTGAGTCCGTCTATTTCTTACACACAGATATTGCAGTTGATAAGTTTTATCCTTTTAAAAAAAAACTGCTTAAAGATAATGCGCACTATTAAAAATGCCGCATTTCATGTTTCCAATAGTAGTAACAGTTCCTTCCTATTGGAATTCAATTCAAATAAACCGCAAAAAAACAGACATAGAAAAATAAATCAACTTGAACCTGTGATCTCAGACTGTCCAGCTGAACATGAGAGCCAAAGATTGCACCTTTGTTTTGCCATTTATTGCTTTCGTGATTTTGCTACAGATAAATTTTCCAATTTACAGAAAGTAACAGATTTATACAGTGCAAAATTGTCTTCATTAAAAATCAGTAAATTCATTCATTCATGCAGCGTTTCCCAGTTTTAGTTCTAACTGTATTCGGCTGTCTGAAGAATATCTTAACCGCCTTCAGGCCGCACCATTTTTTCGCTACGGTACCACTGCAAAGTCGCTGCTGGGCGGCCAAAGTGTCCCACGGCTCGTCCAACCTTGGACTCCTAGACCTCATTAGACGCTTGACTGGCGCAAGATGAGAAACTGTCGTACAAAGAGTCGCTAAGTGATTCCAGATTTTCCACACTGTTTTTTTCGGGCAACCTTGTTGATGGGTCTTCCTCTTTCCCAACGCTCTCTTTCTCAGCCTCGGGCTTAGTTGGGCAGTTTTTCTCCTCTTCTGTGATGTGCGGACGGGTGGAGTTGATCCTGTTCAGGGTGTCGAACGAGACGGTTGGCAGACTGGACAACTTGGTGTCTGGCTCCTCTTTCTTCACTTGTTTGGTATTCTGTAATAAATCAAATTCCAGTAGATTACAATCTTATAAAGCATTGGGTAATTTACGGTTCAGTTGGGTGGCTTTCGATAACATTGTACTGACCTTGCAGCGGTATTAATTTATCACGGTGCAAGGCTGCAGGATCCCTCACCACAGACTGAATATTCCATTCAGTCTGGGAGTTGGGTGGGAGAGGTTATTGTTGCATCTTTGATGGAGACATAACGCTTCATTTTCTAGTTGCAGAGTCAATAAAACTGGTAGGTTCTTCTTCAGAGATGGTCAGAGTACAACTATGTTTCATTTAAAGTAACATCTCATGAATCTGAAACCAGATCAGTAGAAATTCCTTCCTGCGGCATACGTGCCTACTTAATTAATTTTCATAAAACCCCGATAATCTTTGCAACCAACTCACAGCACTCAGGAATAGGAAGAATTCTTTATTTTTATCCTCACGCTAAATGGATTAGCTAAATATAGTTGTACTGTGCACTGCCTGTGCTGTCAGGTCAAAACCAGGCTTAAGAGTCACAACAAATTCACAAGTTTTTGTGTCCAAATCCAAATGTATTCTAAATAAAAGCAGGTTTGGATCACATCAACTAGATTAGGCCCCATGGTTCAGTGTTCTGGTGAAACTCATTGCCTGGCCTTAGACCTGTCTTTTAAATAAACAGTTACAGATTTTGTTTGAACAGTTTGAAAGTGAAGGTCGAAAAAACTCTTATTTTCTATATTTATTACGTGTCCTTTACTGAATCCATATGAGAGGTATTTTGACCTGAGGAATTCAAATATATTAATCCTTCAATACAGAAAAAAACTGCAATTGGAGTCAAATATTATAAAGCGTAGGCTGCACAGAACCAATGCATCGGACAACAGTCTACAACTCAGGAAGAAGAAAATCTATACCCATCTAAAATATGGTGCAATGACAATGTATCAAGCATGCAGTAAATCAAAGTTAAATCTGTCATTATCCATTGGTTAGCTACTTGGTGCTTATCTAGTTGAATATTCCCAACTACCATTTATTGTTCCTTTTACCCCCCAGTTGAAAAGATAAAGTGCATGATCTATTCCCAGACCTGGTAATTCCTGCTCTAGCTGCTGTGAATGTGAAAGAATGGCATTTTGCATCCTGAAAAAAAATGAATCCAAAAGGCAGTTGTACCCTCTCAGATCAGAAAGCGAGAGAGATCATTCCGGGGGACCTTATTCATTTCTCCTATGCACGCTGTTTTTTATTTTGCTGCACTTTTTGTTGTCAAGGAACACATCAGAGGAAAGAGTGGCTGTGAGGCCATCTGTATACAGGTCAATGTCAGCAAAAGTTGCATAAAAGCAGTGTGTACAATATATGTCATGTCAGAAACAAGGATCAAGGAACCAAGGAGAGCCAATAAGATAGTTACGAAGAAGTATAATGAAACATGTAAGCCACTAATTTATAGATTGACTACTGCAAATACTGTGGGTTGTGTGGGCAATGAATATTAAAAAGTAAAATGAAATTTCTCATATCATGTGTTACCTTTATAGAACTGGTGACAGATAAAAACAAATAGCATTAACATTTCTATGGGACAGGATGGGATATTGTGATGATTGACCAAGATTATTAAAACAAAAATATTAAAAGCTATTTTCATTTGATTTTAGTTATGCATTTAGTTCTAGTTAGATTTTACTTTATTTTCAGTCAATTTAATGGAATAAGGATGTTTGGTTAACAGATTAGTGGTATTGTATGACGCAAATGTAATCCTATAATGATGTTATCATGCTGCACTGGAGACTTAATCATCTTTTTATTAAGAAATTAATAAAACCAAAGTCCATAGAACAGTACGCCATCATGGTTGAAATAAGATAAATCAAGAAGCAATGATTCTGTGACAAAAAGCTCAATTTTAAAATCCTGAGAATTGCAGGAAGATAATTGAAACCTAGTATGATGTAGGTTTGAAGTCCTGGAAGAGAATAAGTGAATGAATCAATGATGATTATTAATTTTAATATAAAGGGGTATAAAATTCAGTCTAGAAGGATGAAATACATCTAAAATGACACATTTGGATATTATAAAGACCATAGGAAAAGGGAGTGGAATTAGGCCATTTGGCCCACCAAGTCTGCTTCACCATTTGATCATGGCTGATATGTTTCTCAATCCCATTCTCTTGCCATCTCCATTTAATCCTTGATCCCCTTGCAAATTATTAACCTATCTCTGTCTTATATACACTCAATGACTTGGCCTTCACAGGCCCCTGCAGCAAGGAGTTCCATAGATTAACCATCCTCTGATGGAAGATGTTCCTCCTCATTTCAGTTCTAAAGGGTCGTCCCTTCACTCTGAGGTGGTGCCCTCGGGTATTACTGTCTCCTACTAGTGGAAACACCTTGTCCACATCTATTTTATCCAGGCCTCTCAGTATTCAGTCAGTTTCAATGAGAACTCCCCACTCCCATTCTTGTAAATTCCATGGAATACAGACCCACAGTCCCAACCACTGCTCATATGACAATCCCTTCATCATAGAACATAGAACATTACAGCGCAGTACAGGCCCTTCGGCCCTCGATGTTGCGCCGACCTGTGAAACCAATCTGAAGCCCATCTAACCGACACTATTCCATTATCATCCATACGTTTATCCAATGACCATTTAAATGCCTAAATTCATCCCCAGAATCATTCTTGTAAATCTCCTCTGGGCCACCTTCAGGACTAGGAACATTCACAGGAGTGTTAAACATGGTAGTGCGAACTAAATAGAGAGACAACAAAAGAGCTAACAGAGGGAGAGGTTGTCTGTTAAAGGCAAGAAATGAATTGTACATAAATCAACAAATATTCGTACGTTGTCTAAGACTCATAGAAAAAGTCTTCCCAGATATTGATGCTGTATTTATGGCTTAGGAGTTAGATTTTATAACATGCCATAAGTTATTGTAGAAATACTCATCATAAAGTGAAACCAAGGCAGCTCACAGTGAATTTCTATGCATTTCATTGGGATGTAACATCAATGTGTCAATGATTTCCACCAGTAATGGGGCAAAGTTACTGAGGATTTGGCTCAAATCGTTATGGATTTTTGGTTAGAATAATTGGAAGTAACGGAACAATGGTGGGTGGACTGTTGGGATAGAAGTTGGAACAGAAATTGGCAAGGTAGCATCAGGACACAAGGGAATCAAAAATAATAATCAGAGAAGCTAGAATGGAGAGCTTTGATTGAGGGCCAGAAAGAATATCTGGTGGCCTGCAGGTGACCTGTAAAATGCTGCAAATGGTGATTTTTTTCAGCAATAACAGAGATTAATCACAGGTCTAACTATCAGTTGTGATGCAAAAACATGCATTTAATCCTTGCTTAGTCTTGTACAATTTTATTTTTGTTTACAAACCAAAAAAATCAAGTTTATGTATAAGTAGGTGTTTATTTGTATGTGTTAAATAGAGCTTTTCCTGTGTTCAAATTGTCAATAATGATTTATACTTTCATGTATCAATATCATTCTACCACATACAGTAAATTAATGGTGTTTCAGTGTGAATAACTCAACCAGGAAGTCAGTAGAATGAATGATACAAAAGTTCATTGGTTTTGATTACTGATTTGTGTTGGAGGTTGATAAACTTAAAATAACAGTCAAACTTTCTCAGGTATAATTGCAAAATGGTGCTGTCTATTTGTTAAATGTAATCTGATCATATAGAAGAACATTATAATGGGATTGAATTAATCTTTGAATTATATGTCCACAATGACTAGGTATTATAACAAATCAATGTAAACTGAGTTTGAAGGATAAAAATTGCATTTGTCTACAATATTTCAAATTATAAAAATAATATAAGTAATAACCATACGTTGATAGAAGTTGTGCTGGTGTGACATAAAAATAACAAGCAAAATTGGAAGGGTGTTCAGGTTAGTGTGGGGAAATCCCATCAATTTAATACTGACGATATATCTTGACTACTCTCATACAGTGAAAGATTGTTATCATGAGGAGCTGAATGAATGTGTGAAGTGTGTAGAAGACATGGTGTTATAGGCTGAAAAATCTTCACATGTTCAATAACTTCAGTGTGCCAAACATAAAGAAAGAGAAATGGAGAGAGTTTGAGAATTATCTGAAAGTTGATTTACTACTAATGGATTATGAATAAAATATCAGTTAAAAATAATAGAAATACAATGTTAACTGAGTAGAATAAAAATAACTGAGGGAGTAACAAAGCATATTACTGTAGCAGTGGAATATCCTGCCCCTAATAAACATGGACATTGACTCCAACTCTAAATCTTTGTGGCTTTTTAAACAGGCATTAAAACCCTTAGATATGAAGAGCTTAATCCCAATTGAGATCTCCTTTAAAAGATTTCATAGAATCCCCACAGTGTGGCAACAGGCCCTTTGGCCCGACAAGTCCACACCAACCCTCAGGGCATTCCACCCAGACCCATCCCCCTATAACCCACCTAATCTACACATCCCTGAACACCTAAGGCAATTTAGCATGGCCAATCCACCTAGCCTACACATTTTTGGACTGTGGGAGGAAACTGGAGCACCCAGAGGAAACCCCCGCGGACATGGGGAGAATGTGCAAACTCCACACAGACAGTCACCCGAGGGTGGAACTGAACCTAGGTTCCTGGTGCTGTGAGGCAGCAATGCTAACCACTGTGCCACTGTGCCACCCTGTGGCACCAGTGAGTCAGCAGGCAAAAAGATCAATTTCTGTTGATTATCCGGGTCTCTTCAAATCCACATTGATCATACACGGTTGAGTATGGACCCAAATAAACAGTTCAGATGATTTTCTATCAAAGCATTTTGACAACTTAACAGAACTTTCTAAGTTCAATTCTGCAAGTATGATATTTTATATGCTCACTCTTGTCATTTTATGACTGCCTTTTCATTCATGTGTAATCAAAGCAAACTCACATTTGCCGACAAAAAGTAAAATCTAATGATGT